TAGAATTTTGTATATATGTAAATACATTTTTTGAAAATATACGTAAAATTACAGTATCCCTTTTATAATGTAACAGGAAATGCCTCAGTGAAGCGAGAAAAATAAGGTTACAAGCCAAGTCCATTTTATATTGAAGTAAATGGCTGTCTAGCCTAGATAGCGACAATCTGGCAGTGGCTTTGATGACTAAGTTTTGTCACCAAACTTGGAGACTATTTACTCCTATTTTTTCCGGTCCCTGAATAATCGTAATTGGTAATGTTATAAGGCATTTCTCCCACCTTCCTAGCGTGCCTTCGGGGTGCAGCGGTTCTGCACGCTGGGCCGGTATTCCAGAGGTCCGTGGTTCGATTCCCGGCGAAGGCGGTTGCTAATTTTTCATCTTGTCTGGTTCCAAAAATACCTGATGCCTCTACAATGGCACCCGAACTAAAAGGGTGTTGGATGATGATTCTCCTCACCCAGGATTTGGCGATTGGGTCCCCTAAAACCCCAGTCGCTCTTTAAAAGAGGGAGTATATAAGGTATTTCTCCCACTTTCCTAGCGTGCCTTCGTGCTGTAGTGGTTCTCCACGCTAAGCCGGTATTCCAGAGCTCCGTGGTTCGATTCCCGGCGAAGGCCGTTGCTAATTTTTCATCTTGCATGCTTCGAAAAATATCTAATGTCTCTACAGTGTAATGGAATAACTCTAATAGATACTCATACGTAACTGTAATCATATCCTGCCCTTATATGTAACTTTAACCGTGTATGCCTTCTAGTAGTTTCGGCAAATGGAAGGTACTATAAATTTCTCGGCGGCAGGGTGAAAACTATATAAGATTAGAGAGATCATCATTTCTCAGTTTTGAGTTCAGAGTTGACTTCGGATTGCTGAGAGATCTCCGTAAGAACTTCGCTTTTCCGATGCGCTTTTCAGTGCGTTGTGTTTAACGATCTTAGCAGTTTTTAAGTGGTAATTACTGATTGTGCTGTATCATTATGAGAATAGTTTTACAATTACTTTTGTAAAAAGTTCCAGAACTGTCAAGTGTTTCTTTTGGGAAAATATTGTTACTTTTTTTTTTTTTCTGACACCAGTTGTTACGTTATTTTCTTCCTTCATGTACGTACGGGGTTCGTGCGGATTTGGAGTGAATAATGACGACAGCACTTGATGGAATATCGAAACACACTTTATTTAGCCAACATTAATCAGGACAGCTCTAATAACACGTTTACACAGTCGTCGAAGAACTACAATAAACACGCTGAAACAATCAGCGACACAGCCTCCAGGTTATCAGGCTATAACGGTGGAGACAGCTTCACTGCAAAGCACCACAGTACAGCTCCCGACTCTGCTCGGTCGTTCTCGGAACTTCATGTACTCTTGAGACTCTCCACGCTACAACTCGCGATTCACTCGACGACACACAGAGCACAGCTCTCGACTCTTCGGTTCAGTCGTTCTCGGAGCTCAACACGCTCTCTCGACGATGCACTAACCGCGATAAACTAACAGACTCTTTCGGTGCATTCGACGACCCACTCGGCACTCGCTGACCGACTGTCAACTCGATTGGACTGACTAACCCGACTAACTGGAGACACTGACTCGATACTAACTATCTCGCACTGGCTCTCCGCGTACCAGGAGGGTTTATATAGATTTTGGCTTGTGTTCGAGAACATTCTGAGCTAAACCGATAAGAATTCGTTCCAGAAGGTTCTCCATCCGTCCATGGCATATCGCCAATTTTGTCACCAAATGTCGCCAACTGTGACAACTTTGTCTTCTTTTGCCATTTTTCGGCAACCCTAAACCTGCTTTGCAGTTAAGCTATCTTACCGCGCCTGTACATTTCGTAACAATACTTTTTTTTATCAAACTATAATCGGTTCTGTGGTTATTTAATCCATTACTAATCCGTACGTAAGTAATAATATTATACTAATATTGCAGGCATAAAACCCTGTATAAAAGAGTAAATTAAAGACTTAATATTTTGAACATAGAAGCTGATGAGTTTCATCTCATTTTCACTAGTAATCTATAGTAATTTATTAATATGTTTTAACATTAGATGATATACGATACGTGCTTATCTCTTTCGTCTGGTACAATGTGCCGTACATCACTCCCAAAATATTCTATGTAATGAAGCTTAGAAACTGAAGGATATCAAAACAGAAAGTAATTGGTTTCACAAAGAGTTTGTTTCCCTCTTCTTCGGTCCCACTCAGTAGTGGCAGACATGGAGCAAAACTGACTAACCTATGGTAAATTGACTGTGGCTTCGTTTTCCAGAAATATTCAATAGAAAATAAAACGCGACATATAAATTCAAATATATTTATTATAAATGATTTAAAAAACCCATGGTTTTTGTAATTCAGCTTTTATTTTCTGAAAATTGTGATGTATATTACAATATGTGTAATATGAATTACATATTACTATTTACTTTCCAGCACTGGAAACATCTTCTATAATATTCTTTGAGTGACGACATCTTCGTCGTTAATTCAATCAAATTAATGAGCGGCTTGAAATATGACGAAATGGAAAATTTTCACTTTAAATATATTTTAATATTCTTCAGAAGTGTTAATGGGTTCATTACATTTTTTCACCACATACAACATCCATAAAAAGCTAGAATTAAATTCAATCATTTTATTAGCTTTCGAACAACAGCTTTGTTGCCGTCCCGCAACAGCTAAAAGACATAACTTAAATCTTTGTTGTTTTCTAAATAAAGAAATTGCACAATATTATAACTTCTAATTTTACAACACTGACAATATTTATTGAAATTTTCAATACGATTATAAAGTTTGAAATTGTATATATTTGAGGTTCAATTAACGTTTCGTCATCTGAGTACAGTATCTTTTGTAATCAGAATAAACCTTTATGATCACACCTCTCAAATTCACTTGAGTTTTGAGTCTTACAAAATCAGATAAGATGATAGGAGTGTTATGTTAGAGACTCCTGCAACGTATTTTAGAAAAAAATGACTGAAATGAACTGCGATCATTGACATAATGTTGACTGGTGTAACGAGAAAATTTTAGATGAGTGTTGTGTAATCATAAAATACTAGAATATTAAGTTTTATTGTTGAAATGGTACCAATGTATGTTTATTGATTTATGTTAGTGAGCCGCTAACACGAGAAATAAATACTAAATAACCAGAAATAAATAAATATCGGATAAACGCACTCATTGACTGATTTTGCACCTGTTTTTCATGAATAAAGGACCTTGCAATGCATAATAAAGGACCTTGCAATGCATAATAAAGGACCTTGCAATACATAATAAAGAACCTTGCAATGCATAATAAAGGACCTTGAAATATCCATACATTGCAATTCGTATTGATCTTTATGCTTGATAAGTCTCAGAGCAGATGACTAATTTATTTTTATTCCATGGCTGATTTTAGCAAATGATGCACCTTCTTCATGAAGCTTGTTTATGTCAAGCTTTTACTCTTTAAAGTGAGAAACTTCTGTTTATTAGTGACAGAACCGCGCGTTTTTGCACTCATCAATATTATTATCATTATTTTAACCGGATATTAAAATTTAATTATCACAAATGATCTTTAATCTAGATTTGGTATCGAAATCTAATAGACGGAAGTTAAATGAACATTAATATTTGCAAACATCCACTGCTTAAGGATGCTACGTATCTTACACATTAAGGACAGCAGTTAGGATCGCACAGAACTTCAATCAGAGTACATCTTTATCTCATCTTCATGCTTGCCACTACGACCTCGAGCTCCGACAATTGCAGGCGTTGTTGTCAAACTGAGATCAAAAGCGCGTGCCTTGTCTGTATTCTCCCTATTAACTTCCAGCGATAAATTATCAGAGCTCAAGAACCAACGCCCCGAGCACAGATACTTACATATAAATCGGGAAAACAAAGTAAAATATAAAATATGTATCGTATAACATAATTTTAAAATCACAAGAAAATAAACCATAAAAAACACATTTGACTGTATAAAAGAGAAAAACGATCAGTTATGTTTTAAAAGTAATTTTTGGAGCTGATTTTTTTCGAAGTTATTTTTAGTTTTCACAGTTAAAATTTAGTTATTTTAAAATTTTCAAATTTGGCTATAGTAAATCCAGACTATGCTGTATAAGTATTGCTGTTCTTCAGCGTCACATTCGGAAATCTGTTGGATTAGACTATTTATGTAAGTTATTTATGCAAAAAGCACAAACAAATTTCTAAGTTTTTCTAAGATTTTTTTAAGTTGTAGAGCAGCGGTTCTCAACCATTTGACTAACGCATACCATCTAAACAAAAATTGAAATCCTTTAGTACCACCACTCTTGAACAAGGCTCAGATCGCATAAATTTACGAGTGTTAGAGAAAAAACTCAATCAGGATGTTGGAGTTTTAATTTTTGAATTTAATAGTTAAAAATACTTTGCTTCTATGCGTACCACCTATTTTTCTCTTGCGTACCACCACTTGAGAACCTCTGTTGTAGAGTCATTAGGTTATTTTTAAAGCAGGAGGATGACAAATGATCAACGACCTCGCCGGGAATCGAACCAGAGACCTTGGAATACATCCCCAGCATGCTACGAAGACATGCTAAGAAGGCGGGAGAAATACCTTATAAAGTTAGTTCTAAGTTTTAATGTGTTTTGAAAGAACGAAACATCTCTAAGACGACCATGCATTTCCTGCGGATGAGAATGTGTTAGAATGCATGGTTATTGATGATATTAAACAAAATTATTTAAAATTAATTACTTTCAGAAAGTGTTTGCCATAAGCAGATCAGTAAGCTTAACTGTGGCACTTAGTTTCTTCCTTGTCAGTAATGTCTCATATATTATATGTCATTATTAGATTGCATGTTCTGTTGTGATCTATGCATAATGCACAGCTATGTACACTATTGCTAACATATATAGATGCATTTAAATCTTCGGATTTATAATTTAGAATGATTGAAATATTTTCTTTCAGGTTACAGACCGGATATATATGTTCCAATTGAAAAAGATCTGGTATCACCTTTCAACATCTCTTCTGCAGTGGACAACTGTTTAATACCCGCATCCATCAAGACAGGTGAAATTAAAATTATTTTATTATTAGTCTCCTTCCGAGATTCTCTTCTTAGATTTATATCATTCGTCTCCTTACTCGTCTCCTTATGAGATAAAACATTTAGGGTATCATTAACAAAAAAATTGAGTATAATCTTTTCATTTTACCATTTTTATAACGCTTTGCAAATTAATTAATCCATCTGTTACTATACGCGAAAAATAGATATTACTTTTATCGTTCTCGGGTTGATGACAAAGAAATTAGTAGTTGATTGCTAAACTCTGTGCGAAGCTGCAGTTATTCTCGACTAGAAGAAAAAAGATGCATTTTTTTTTTTTTTTCACTCATAAACCCAGTACGATTGTTACCAATCTTACAGGTGTTTGCGTACGCAAATTTCACCAACTTGGCGTCCGAAACATACGTGATAAGCCCTTAAAGATGCTTGCTTTAGTTATGTATGCGATAAGTCCTTAATGATGTTTGTACCTCTCCATACATAATATTGGAATTATTCGGTCTGAAGACTAACAGCGTCCTTAATTCCGAAGAACGCTTTGGTCTGCTACATCTTAAGCGTACAACCAAGTCTGCTCTGCTTCTATACTGAGAAACCGGCCGCAGCTTAGTGGAAGGGCCGTTCGTCACTTTCCCTTTAAGAAAGGTTGCCGCCCCTCCACAACGCCGGGATAGACCAACGTCTAGGTGGCGTTGGATAGACCATCACCATCGAGATAGATAAGGCCTGCGCTCTGAATCGAAACTGGCTTGTGACGTCCCGGTTAAGGGACCCTCAGCAATAACTCACACAATGACACTCCCCGAAACTTTCTACGTATTCTTTATCCATCTACCTCTTAACGCTGTTACCAGTAGCCACCTGCCTCTTAACTCTGTTACCAGTAGCCACCTGCCTCTTAACAAGATATTCTTTGACTTAACTGTTACTGTTAGACATACTTCACACGATCTTGTTAAATGCTTAGATTTTGTTAGTTTTATTAACATTTGTGCATTATTCATTGCTTTTTCAAGTTGATTGCTTAGTGATACATTTTTGTTTCTGCATATTTTCGTGCGAAATTGTGTTATCAGCATTATGCCTTCCCATTGTATTGTTCCTGGATGCAAAGGAAATTATGATAATGGTCCTCGTGTGAGAGTCTACAGTTTTCCATCTAATGAAATTTAAAAAAAGAAATGGCTTAAAGCTATACCTCGGAGCAATTTTAAATTAACGAAAGCTTCAAAAGTTTGCGAACTTCATTTCAAAGATGAAGATATTGAGATGGAGACAAGTGCATATGATCCATCCTCTGGAAAAAAAATAAGTGCACCTCTTTCACGTTCTCGATTAACGAAAGAAGCAATACCATCTTTATTTCCGGGTTGCCCTGCATATTTATCCTATCAGAAACAGAATCGAGAATCTCCGTATGATAAAAAAATACGATTACAAAATCAGCAACTGCATTTGGCTCTACAGGAAAGCATGAAAACGAAATCAGAAGAAGAAGCAAAATACATGTTTTCAACATATGCAAACTTTTTAAAGTGCTTAGAGACTCAGCAAATCCCGTTATTTTGGTCTATAATCAGAAAGGAAGATGAGACATTATTTATTCACATCAATACTCAAGCAGCACCAGTTATTGAAGCTCTGTTGTTCTTAAATATGATTAAAAGCACCACACCATTCTCAAATAATTTTGTTTTGAAAATAAATACCAACAAAAGAAAATGAAAATATTTCATATTTGTATAAGCTTTGTAAAACATTATATTGCCGCTGGTAATTTTGTTTTAGACTGATTTTATAGTATGAGATACCAATTTCATAGAATAGGTTTAGAAAAACGGGTGTTTAGCAAGGAAGCTAAACTGCACGAAGACCGGTCCCCTAGCAGTGACGTAGTAACTCAGCGCGCAGGCCTTATCTATCTCGATGGTGACGGATAGACCCTCAGTAAGAGGGAATTTTCAGAAAGACTTCGAAATATGTTGCATTTTTCACACTACTTTGCAATTTTATGCACTGATTAGTAAGATTTTCTGTTTTCTAAGCTATTGCAAGACTCAAAACTTAGTATGAACGACGATTAAGACATATCAGCCTCACGATCATCTTGAATTTTGTTGGAAAGCTCATAATGGCAGTAATAATATGTCTGGCAGGAATTTAAACTAAAATTTCTTCCCGAATTCCATGATATAGATAAAGTATTTTACATCAGTATATATATGGAGAGATATATTTATAGATATTTTCGTTGCAGATATGATATCATATGAAATTACTTTAACCATGTTAACAGAGTACTATTTCTTCGGAAACGCTGACAGGCTATAAAGTTCTTGTATGGGAACTCAAACCACTGTCCAAGACAGACGCTATTAGATATTTTTTTTTTTTTTTTTTTTTTTTTTTAAAGCAATGACAAAGTCGAAAGAAGATCAAAATAACCTTTTTAGTTACCTATTTAAATTAATAGAAGCCACTAGTTTTGCTGCAGAAAAGCCTCCGCTACTTGTGGGCATTTAAAATAGCAAGATGAAGTCAAATTTAAATTCAGATAACGTAGTCTAGTCTGAGACTACACACAAAATAGAGTATTTAAGCTGGCTGAAGAAATTAATGGCATATTTAATGGCATATTGTTCCTGTAACATCGAAAAACCTATACTTCCTAAATTATTTTTTAAAAACCATTTCCGCCAAAAAGCTTTGTGCTCATGTGTCTAGTAAAATGTCTGACAGGATTTCATCCACAACGAATTGAATATTCGCAAGTAAAATGTTTTTAATTAGTACGGTATTTAATTGAATTTGAGAAAAATAGCTTTTTGGGGTGACTGACGTCTCTGATCCATAGCTTCCCTATCTAGTTTAAAGATTTCTGTTTATCTACACCTGCTTCCTTTTTATCAGAATGTTTCTGAGATTTATTTTCCATTGGTGGACAAAAGATTTTGCGGAAAGTCAAAATGTTTCCTGCCATCAATTTTCCACCTCTTTCGACTACTTTCATTAGTTCTTTCATCGCATTAATTCTTTCTCCTTTGTAGACCGTATTTACCTATATAGGCTGAAATTCAAATTTCACAGATAACTCGAAAAGTGTTCTAGTGTATCAGGTTTATTAATTCTGTAAAATCTTCGATATGCCGCATAACAACGTGGGTAATATCATCTCAGTAATTCCTGCATCAGGTTTTTCCATATAACAGATTCATGAACTGGACTTTTTTTATTAGAATTAAATTAGTTAAGTCATCGGTATTCGTCTAATATTTGCCATAATGTTCTGCTTCCAACTTGGCCCAATCTTTAACCACAAGAAATGCTCTAAAATACATCAGACATATAGTTCTTACTTTCCAGTTCGTTTAGGAGATGTTTTCTGATCTCTTACACCAGCTTAAAACTTGACTTCGCAGCGCAGAGATTGCTGTAGCAACTTTTAGCATTTCTGGAACGAGTTGTAGAAAATGCGTTTCTAAACTTTCGATAAAGACAGGATACAGCTTCGTCTGTCGAAGCTACTGAATAGTTTTAATGATGCACGCACAGTGTCCATAATCAATCCGAATAGAGTTCTGCTTATACAGGAACTTAAATAACTATCTTTCAGGTTTACTAGACTGAAAGCCAAATTATCACTTTAGTCTGAAACAGTAACAAAGTCGTAAGAGGGTTAAAATAAGCTTTTTATGTAATTCTTTAAATCCGTAACTCATGAGGAACTCCGATATATGTAGGTATTTAAATTGGCATAAGATGAATTCAAATTTAGGTAATGTAATCTGAGACTACACACAAAATGGATTATTTAACATTTTCCTGGGAGCTGGGACATATATTTCCTACTCATTCACTGCATCAAATAAGCTAAAAATTAGTCACTAGAGAGTTTTAAAATTTGGTATTTAATGGGAAGCAGGAAATGGAGAATCATGATGATTTGTTTTCTGCTCTTTCCTGACTGAATAGTTAACTAAATGGCTTCAATACATAAAAGAACTAGTCTATATAGCTCCCAAGAAAAAGGTTAAGCTATCTCAAGAAATTAACGGGGAGTAATTTAAATGTGGGTTAACAAGATTGCTGAAGCCAGAGTTATTTTAGCAGAGATGGAGCTAACAAGTAATTGCAATACGAGGCTGACAGATTTCTAACTGTAAAACATTCAAATCCTCGGCTTACACACAGCAACTAATTTGCTTTTGGTGATGAGAACTACGGAAAAACGAAGTTTAAGCAGAGGTTCGGATCATAATAACTGCTTAATTAACATAAATAAGGTGCTGGCTATTTAGGAATGTACTGATACAGTCTATACTCCATGTTATGAGTTTGGTATCACCAACAATTCTGATGGTAATATCTCTGATCAATTAATTATTATTTATGGTTTTGTAGATTAGCTTCACAATTCGTAAGAACAAACATGTCATCATGTTGAATTCATTATAGGAATATGGCTCAAGATCTAGTGTATCTGGCCATGATATTTATTGTCACTTGGCATAGATCACCCTTATTATTTAAAATATTTCATGTTCGTCTTTTTTTAAGATCTAATTATCATCTTAATGAATTGAAGGTTCTAAAAACAAATTTTTAAATAAACTCTTCTTTAAATTTAGCTAACAAATGCTATTTAAGCATAGCTGTTCATAATCAGATCCAGAAAGCTTTGCCGAAAGAAAATTTCAGTACAGAAGCATATAGCAATATCATTTCTTCGAAGGAAAATCTCTTTTAATTTTAATTAAATTAAAGCATGGCATTACTTTGAGTGTATTGCCTTACATTCGAAGTTCTATTAATGCCAATTTCAAAAGAATGTCACAAATATACTGTGTTGAAGATTTTTTATGTGAAATTCTTGCAACTGCAGTGGGCGTAACTTCATTTCTTGCAGTTTTGAAATTAATTCTGATATTTTCAAACACTGGTCTTTTAAATAGTAACTTGCTTACCCATGAACAATACCACGAAAGATTTAATAAGAAGT